ATGGAAGGGGCCCCAGAATCTGGGTCTAGTTACTCCTGATCTAGGGTTGGCCTCCTGCCTGCTCCAGGACTCAGTGTCACAGACTTCAGTCCCAGCTCAAGCCCACCCTCATCCCAGGATTCCTTTATCCATGTTCAAAGGGGCCCACTACCCACAGGGCACTATATTCTGTTTAAAGTCATATGCTCCTTCTTTCATCTTTGGAACAAGGTAAGGTGTACAAGAGGTGACTTCCAAATTATACTCAAATCAGTGCCCAAGCAACAGTTTGAAGTCTTTTCTTTTCTTTTCTTTTTGAGACAGAGTCTCACTCTGTCACCCAGGCTGGAATGCTGTGGCGTCAGCCTCGCTCACAGCAACCTCAGACTCCTGGGCTCAAGCGAGCCTCTTGCCTCAGACTCCCGAGTAGCTGGGACTACAGGTGCACACCACCATGCCCGGCTAATTTTTTCTCTTTTTAATAGAGACGGGATCTCACTCTTGCTCAGGCTGGTCTTGAACTCCTGAGCTCAAATGATTCTCCAGCCTTGAGCAGTTTGAAATCTTAATGACATAGACATAGGCCGTACCAATGAAATTGACCATCTATATAGAGAGTGCCTAAATACTTTGCTTATATTTGATTCTCAAAATGACCCACTGAGGCAAGTACTATTATTATTCCCATTTGACAGATGAGGAAACTGAGACTCAGAGAGGTGATTTGATTTCTACATTGCCTAGTTGGTAATGGCAGGTTTTGAACTCTAGTCTGACTCCAAAGATGGAGCATTTAGCACAATTTTTTGTGGTCATACTCCCCATGACAATGAATGAATGAATGAACAGACAAAATGTTTGCCACCCCAAAGACTGATAAAACAGTGTCTTAGAATAAAATTTGTATTAATTGTAATAAAAATTGTATAAATATGCTTTGATGCAAACATGAGTTAGATGGGAACTTTTTTTAAATTAAAAAGAATGACAATACCAAATGTTGGCAAGGATGTGGAGCAACTGGAAAACATACATCACTGGTGGGAATGCAAAATGGTATTAACCACTTTGAAAACATATTTAGCAGTTTATTATAAAGTTAAAAATACACTTACTATATGATCCAGCAATTCCAATCCTAAATATTTACCCAAGAGAAATAAAAACATGTCCACACAAGGATTTGCACATAAATGTTCATAGCAGCTTTATTTATATAGCTCCAAACTGAAAATGACCCAAATATCCATCAATAAATAAATGGATCAACTAATAGTGGTACATCTTTACCATGGAATATTACTCAGCAGTGACAAAGAACAAACTACTGGACATGTAACAAGGAAAATCTCAAAAGCAGTATGTGTCAACCCCCCACTGCTAAATTTGACTGGCTTAAAAAAAAAAGCAATATGTGAGTAAAAAACAAACATAAAGGAAACATACTGTATTATGGCATTTATGTGACATTCCAGAAAAGGCAAAGCTAATGTATGACAAAGAACTAATTGGTGGTTACTCGAGACCACCTAACAGTGGGAGGGTTGGCTGCAATAGGGCATAAGGGAACTTTTTGGGGTGATAGAAATGTTCCATATCTTGATTGGGATGGTGGTTATACAAGTATACATATTTGCAAAAACTCATCAAACTGAATATTTATAATGGTGGATTTTATTTATAAAATTAAGCCACATTAAAGGTGATAGAGCTCTGGGAACGCACACAAGGATTTTAATTGCCCCATTACTTTAATAGCAAAAATACTGGAAATTGTCCATCAGCAGAAGAATGTTTCAGCTCTCTGTGGTCCTTTGCCATCAGAATGACAAACTTTTGGAAGGAGATGTTGCTGATGCTGATGACCTTCCAACGTCCCCTGGGCCTTTACCAGGACCCGCATGTCTCTTCCTGGAGGCTCTCTGGCTGCTGGAGCATGTATGGGGCAGGCCAAAGGTGCTGGAGGATTAATATCCCTGGGAGTATCCCTCATCCGATGTCTGACAGGAGTTGGTGTATAAATGCCCCAGCGCCATCATCTCACAGGTGGGATGACTCTGCAGTAGGCATGGTACACGGTCTCCAGAGTCCCCAGTAGAACTGAACACCAGCTACCCACAGTGGTGACTTGCTTGCTAATACTCCTTGAATTGGCTTCCTTCCCTTCCCTGTCTCATTCACCCACTCCTCTACTGGTGTCTTCCGTATCTCCTAAATAAACTACTTTCCCCTGAATCCACGTCCAGGGTCTGCTTCTGGGGAATTCAAATTAAGACCAGTGGATGATACCAAGGGTTGGTAAAGATGCGGGGAAATGCTGAGAGAGAGAGAGGGCAGCGGCCATTCTGCAAGCACCTGTCATTCTTGGCAAAGCAAGCCTTTCCCCCGCCCACCCCCAGACAGGGTTTCACTCTATTGCCAGGGCTAGAGAGCAGTGGTGTCATCATAGCTCTCTACAACTCCAACTCCTGGGCTCAAGCGATCCTCCTGCATGAGCCTCCTGAGTAGCTGGCACTACAGGTGTGTGCCACCACATCTGGCTCATTTTCCTAATTTTTGTAGTGATGAGGTCTTTCTATGTTGCTCAGGCTGGTCTCAAAACCTCCCAGAGTGCTAGGGTTACAAACTACCATGCCTGGCATTTTTTTTCTTTTAATTTTAAAAATCTCAATTGGTTTTATCTGTGATTCTAGAATCAGGCAACGCTTCATTCCATAAAATAGAATAAATGTTCCTGGCAAAGCCAAGTCTTTACAAAATTTTCACACAGGTCCATAAGGGGGTGTGTGTATAAGGATATCCATTGAACATTGTTTAAAGGAATGGCAAACAGTGTACAAGCTAGGTGACCATAACTAGGAGAATGGATAAATAAAATGTGAAGGATGTAGACAATGCCGACACAGCCCCTACCTTCAGCAACATGGCTAGATATTAACAACAGTGATGGCACAGAGGGAAAGTTCAAAATTGAATAAGTACCATTCAAGTAAATTAAAAACGAATGAATGAGCAGACAAAATGTCGTTCATTATCTCTTTTTGTTTTGTTTTTTGAGACAGAGTCTCACTCTGTTGCCCGGGCTAGAGTGCCGTGGTGTCAGCGTAGCTCACAGCAACCTCAAACTCCTGGGCTCAAGCGATCCTCCTGCCTCGGCCTCCCGAGTAGCTGGGACTACAGGTATGCACCACAATGCCTAGCTAATTTTTTCTATGTATTTTTAGTTGTCCATCTAGTTTCTTTCTATTTTTTCAGTAGAGACAGGGTCTTGCTCTTGCTCTTGCTCTGGCTGGTCTGGAACTCCTGAGCTCAAACAATCCGCCCGCCTTGGCCTCCCGGAGTGCTAGGATTACAGGCGTGAGCCACCGCGCCCAGCCCATTATCTGTTTTTATAAAAAGTGCATATAGGTACATATATTCAAGCACATATACCAAACACATGGGAGTAGGGCATTGTCATTCTCATTCATGGTTCTCCTCCTCCCCACCAGGGGACATTTGGCCTCTCTGGAGGCATTTGATTGTCACAACTGGGGAGGAGTGTTACTACTGGCATCTAGTGGGTGGAGCCCCGGGATGGCGTTAAACACCCTACGGTGCACAAGACAGTCCACTACAACAAAGAATCCTGTGGCCCAAATGTCCGCAGGGCCAAGTCCCAGAAGCCCTGCATATCCCAGCCACCAGCACAGTTACGCTGAATGAACAAATGCATGCATGCGGGAAGGAAGGAGAGATGACGGTGGCCTGGACTGGCTAGTAGCAGCGAAAATAGGGAGATGCAGTAAGGTTCCTGTACATTTTGGAGGTGTGTTACATGGAATTTAACGTGATAGCCCCTGTCTTTTCCCAGAGAGGATGTGCTCTGTCCTTGTCTGGCGCTGGGCACAGTCCCATCCTCAATCGCCCTCCAGCCTACACCTCGCTCCGCCTCAACTCGGGAAGTGCTCTGAGCTGCACAGAAGCCTGCCCAGGATAAGCCAGGGTAGTTCCTGCGGGCGAGCAACTTTGCATGGCGTTTGAATAGCGCACAGCCTGCGGAAGGGAAACCGCTGACCACAGAAGGGCCGGAAAGGTTTAAGACTCCGCGTGGGGCAGGGGCCAGGGCCAGAAGGGAGGGATCAGAATGGTGGGCGAGACGGATCATAAAGCTTCGAGGGTGGGTGTTAGAATCCTGTAACAGTGATGAGGGTGGGGTAGCTTCCAGAACGAGGTTAGAATCTTTGAAGAGAGCCGCTGGAATCCATTGGAAGGTGGGGTTAGAATCCCTGGAGGGCGGGGTTGGAATTTTTGGAAGGGCGGGATTAGACTCCTGCGGGTTAAAGCCATGGGGCTGAGGGGGTAGGTGGGGGTTGGGATCACCCAGGGGCAGTATTAGAATCCTTGGGTTAGGGTCGTAAATCTTGAGGCTGGGGTTAGAATCCCTTGAAGAGAGGGGTTAGGATCCTTCCGTTGGCTGGATTAGGATCCTTAGGTTACGCATCCTTCAGAGGTGGGACTGAAAATCCTTTGAGAGCAGGGGTAGGATTTTAGGAGCAGGAGGGCGGCTGTTGGGGCTCTTGGGCAGGCGGTTCAAATCCCCGGGGGCAGGGCTTAGAATCCTTTGGGGACAGGGTTAGGCCGTTTGGAGGCGGCATGAGGATGTGTTAGGAGAGGCGCAGGACGCATTGAGAGGAGCGGCGTGGGGGTGAGGGTCTTTGGCCGACAGGCTAAAATCCTAGATCCTAGGGCCAGGGTTATTATCCTTCAGAGACCGGGTTAGGATCTTGGGGGGGAAGGGTTAGAAGCCTCGGGTGGGTGGTGGGGTTTTTTCTGTTTTGTTTTTTGTTTTGCTTTTGTCGCCGGGCTGGGGATCCTGCGAGCAGGGCACGGAGGTTATGACCCTGGAGTAGCAGGTTATGATCCCCGGAGCGGGGTTAGAATCTTTGGGGGTGGTGTTAGGACACTTCGGGGCGGGGTTAGCATCTCTCTGGGCGCGGCCGAGGCGCCCAGATGGCCTGTGGGCGCCACCGCGTCCCTGGTTCCAGCCCGGCCGCAGGGCGGGCGCTTAGACGCGGTGGGAGGGACCCGGACGCGGCCGCTCGAGGAAAGCCCGAGAAGGCCCACGGCACCGAAGCCCCTCGGAGCGCCGCCCCAGCTTCCTGTTCTCGAAAGTCAGCCCGTCTTCCTACGGGCCGAGCGCCCCGGGGCTGCGGAGCTGGGGGGGCGCTCGAGCTGCGAGGATCCGGGCTGCCCGCGAGACCAGGAGCGGGCGCCCAGGTGAGTGCGGCGGGCCGGGCGCCGGGGGACGCCGGCCCGCGAGGGTCCTCGGCCGCGGAGGGAGCCCGGGGTCCTGGCCAGGGCTGGCTGTGGGTGCCGCTGGGGGCAGCGCGGGGAGAAGGGGACGTCGGGGCGCCGCGGACAGGAGTGGAGGGTGCGCAGGTGAGGGGCGGCACTGCCTCGGCCCAACTGCGATCCTAGGATAGCCCGACGGAGGGGAAGCTCGGGCGGGTGGAGTGACTTTATGCTCAAGCGGCCACTTCTCTGGGCCGTCCAAGTTCCCCTTCTGCAAAATTTTAAAAAAAAAGAAAAGAAAAAAAGGAAGGGATGGGGGCTTCACACAGCCCAGGAGGGGAAGGCCCTTACGGTTCCCAGTGGGGGTGGGTGATGGGTCACACCGGGTTGACAGCTGGCGTGGGGAAGGGGGCAGCAGGGCGGAGGCGTGACGTGCTAGCCACACCCTGGCCCGCTGCAGCTGGGTCGGCTCGCACCGCTCCCTCCCCGGCCCCCGCCCCCAGCAGCTCCAAGTCAAACCCCAAAACCTCCTGGACAGAGGCTACAGGATGTCTGCCCTGTCACTTTCCTCCTTGTTGGGCAAGTCATTCTCTCTCTGAATTCGTTTCCTCATTTGTAAAACGGGGCTACCTAAGTCTTTCTTGCAAGGATGCTGTGAACTGGAGCATGCGAGAGGCCGATAGCGCAGCGGTTCAGGGCGGGAGGGGGCTTCTAGGGCAAACTGCCTGTTGGACCCTGTGCAGAGTATTTGGCCTTTCTGTGCCTCGGTTTCCACCACTGCAGGATGAGGAGAGTAACAATACCTCCTTCACGGGGTCGTTGTGAAGATTAAATTGAGGAAAGCTCCCAAGCACTGACGGATACGCATGCTTAACACATGCTAACTATTGCCCTGTCTGCTACATACAGCCCAGGGTTCTCGGACATGAGTGTACATCAGCATCCCCTGGAAAGCTCGATAAAACCCAGATTGCTGGGCCACAGCCCCAGAGTCTGTGATTCAGCAGGTCTGGTGCGGGCCCCTGAGAATGTGCATTCCCAGTTGATGCTTGGTACTGCTGGTCCCGGATCCACACTGGGAGAACCGCTGGTGTAACCTATGCCTGGCACAGAGCAAGGTCTCAGCAGATACCATTCAGCCTACCCATGCTTCTCTCTTCACTCTCCTGTTTCTTGTTGGTGGGGGAGGAAGTTAAAATACAGAAAAGTGAAGAGAGTGATATACTAAGTATCCCAGGAACCCACCCCCCCACCCCAGAATTAATAAATCTTAGCATTTTGTTATGTTGGCTTCAGATTTTTAAAAATAAATTTACTAAAAGTGATAGATTAAAACTGAAGCCTCCCCACCTTGTATCCTCTCTCAGTTCTGTTTCTCTCCCTCCCTAGGGGCAACCAGTCATGAATTACAGGCCTTCCAGCCTGGGTCTTTATAAATGTATGTGTATGTGTATAAATGTATGCATTTGAACAGCACATAGAGTTGTTTTCTGTGTTTTAAAGATCTACATAAATGCTATCTATGTGAGCCTCCTGCAATTTCCTTTTCCCCCTACTTCTTATTATTAAGTGGACAAAATCAATCCAGGATGAGAAATAGAGGTCTCATTCATTCATTCCTCCTAGCTGTGAGGTATCTCAGCAGGTGAAACCCCACATTATTTCTCATTCCCCTGCTGACGGACATGCAGGTTGTTCCTAGGTGTTCACTACAATAAACAATATTTCCGGGGCCATTCTGGATGTGGAGCCTCGAACCCATGTGCAGGTGTTTCTTGAGGACACCAAGAGGCTGGATGGTTCCACAGAGGGGGCACCTGTCACCCTCCTCTTTGTATGAGAGGAGTACTGAAGCCTGGAAGCCTGGTCACGGAGGGTGTCTGGGGTGGAGAGGAGAAAAGAATCTGGCCCCGTTGACCTCCCAGCTCTCTTTAGACCCAGGGCCTTCTCCCAGCCCTCATGTTCTCTGCTGCAGAGCTGCGCTGGCCGTGCTCACTGTGCCTGGGAGTTAGTGGATACTTAAAAAACGAAAGCATGAATTTTTTTGTGTGCAGGGGATAGCAAACATTTTCATATATTTTTATGTAGTCTTTTCTATGTACTCTTAAATTAACATAATTAGTATAATGCTGCATATATGATTTTTATCTTACCCATTTGCTTAGCATTACATTGTGAGGATTTTTCCAGGCCATTAATGGCTGCATAGTATTTCATTGTTTGGATGTACTATAATCTGTTTAACATTTCTAGCATAGCACTCTTGGATAGTTTGTAGTCTTTAAAAATGTATATATTTTTTTGAGACAGTCTCACTCTGTTGCCCAGGCTAGAGTGCTGTGGCGTCAGCCTAGCTCACAGCAACCTCAAACTCCTAGGCTCAGGCGATGCTTTTGCTTCACCCTCCCGGGTAGCTGGGACTACAGGCATGCGCCACCATGCTCGGCTAATTTTTTCTATATATTTTTTAGTTGTTCGGCTAATTTCTTTCTATTTTTAGTAGAGACGGGGTCTCACTCTTGCTCACGCTGGTCTCGAACTCCTGATCTCGAGTGATCCTCCCGCCTCGGCCTCCCAGAGTGCTAGGATTACAGGAGTGAGCCACCATGCCTGGCCTAAAAATATTTTTAATTGAGGTGAAATTCATAACTTTATAAAATTAACCATTTTAAAGTAAACAATTCAGTAGCATTTAGTACATTCAGTGTTGCACAACCACCACCTCTATGTAGTTCCTAAAGGTTTTTCATCACCCCCCAAAAGGACACCTTGTACCCATTAAGCAGTTACTCCCATTCGCCCATTCCCCCAGTTCCGGGCAACCACCGATCTGCTTTTTGTCTCTATGGATTAATTTATTCTGGATATCTCATATAAACGGAATCATACAATATAGTAGTATGTGACCTTTTGTGTCTGGCTTCTTTTAATTAACGTAATGTTTTCAAGGTTTACCCACATGGTGTCATGTATTAGTACTTCATTCCTTTTGTGGCTGAATAATATTCCTTTTGTATGTATATATCACAATTTCTTTATCCAATCATATGTAGATGGAAATTTAGGTCGTTGCCACCTTTCGGCTATTGTGAATAATGCTGCTATGTACATGCATGTACATACATGTATTTGTTTGAGTACCTGCTTTCCATTCCCTTGGGTATATACCTAGGAGTGGAATTGCTGTGTCACATAATAATTCTATATTTAACTTTTTGAGGGATCACTAAGCTGTTTCCCACCATTTTACATTCCCACCAGTAATGTACAAAGGTTCCAATTTGTTTCACTTCCTTCCCAATACCTGCTATGTTCCTCATTATTATTATTTTATTGTGCCATCCTCACAGACGAGGGAAGCATGAATCTTAATCTCATCCAAACCAGGCTGCCTTCTGGGGGCTCTTACACCAAGGGGCAAGGCTAAGGGTGTCTGCATTCAGGGGATCAGCCAGGGCTTGGACTTTAAACTCTTCTAGAAAGTAAGTTCCATAAGGGTATGAACATGTCTGTTTCGTAAACCACTGTATCTTCTAACACCTGGCACCCGGTACATAGTAGGGCCTCAAAAAAACACTGAATGAACAAATGTAACCAATGTTGAATAGCTCCCCTCCCTTGCCTGAGATACACAGGCACACACGCACACATACACAGTGATTCTTTTCAATGAGTTGCTAACATTTAAAATTAAGAGAGCTCACGCAGTCTGGATTTGTCTTTCGAAAAGCTGGAAGAGTTGGCAGCTCTGGGACTAGAACCGGCATTGCTCACGCTCCTCTGCTATTCCCTCGGGCAGCCTTGCTGTTGCTGGGCAGGGCCTGCCCTGGGTACTGCACGGAGCTGTCCAGGGTGCAATGCCCTTGCCTGGCCTGCTCTCCTCATGCCCAGCACCCTCCAGGCTCCTATAGCCATTTGAGTTTTCAAGCCCCACCCTTCAGTCATGACAAGGCTTCTCTTTTTATAGAAAAGGAATGTGAAGCATAGAGAGGGCAAGTAACTTTCCCAAAGTCACACAGCAAGTTAGTGATACAATCTGTCACAGCCTCTGTCTTCTAGGGATGGGGAAGCTGCAGCCTTCTTAGTTTAAGATCATTTTTTTTTAAGCACCAAAGGAGGCAAGAAAAGCTATATTTTTCTCTGCTGCACCCCTTTTAATAAAAGGATTTGTTCTGTAAAATTTGGATTCGGTCAAAAGGCTGCACGTAAGGACCTAGAAGGCCACAAGCGGCCATAAGGCTGCAGGTTCCCCACTAAACCAATCCCCACAGCACTTTAGTCCCCGCCCCATTTCTTCAATTTTCTCCACCCCAGGACTGGGAGTTTGAGTGTACTTTGGAGGCATGAGCAATGATGCAAGAGAAACCCTTGCTTGAAAGTAAAATGTGCCATGTTCTTGGGCAGTGGCTGTGACCACACACGCTGCACCCACTACATGATGCTGCATCCTCTGGATGGTGCTGCACCGGGACTCACACTCCTAATCCTCCCCTAGAGGCACAAGCTTGATTTCCAGCATCACCCCCAAGTCCTTTGGCCCAGGAGATACAGGTGCAGCTGAGAGAATAGGAGTTCCACCCTCATCTCGGCTACAGCAACGAACAGTAGACATAGCACGGGAGACAAACTTGAGTTTGAGTGCCAGCTCCGCTTCATGCAAGTTGGGATGCACTGGGCAAATCCCTTCGCTCTCTGAGTCTCAGTTTCCCCATCTGAAAAGTGGGACTAAAAAGGATACTACCTCAGGATTCCTGCAGCACAATTTCTTTTCTGTTAAAACAGACACACACACACACACACACACACACACACACACACTATGCTTCATAATTCCTGGGGTAGATTTGCCTTAGTTTGAGTTTCCTTATAAGGGGGCTCTAGACAAGGTTTCAAATGCATATAGCTTGAGAGCTGATTCCAGAAACCCTCGGAGAGGAGTGTGGAAGTGAGACGCAGAGGGCAGCCAATAAATGTGTGCTACCAAG